CAACGCCATCACTAGCAGCCGACAGCGTGATACCAGCGCTGTGGATCAACGGGTCATATGACAGGACATGAAACGCCCATATTTTAGGACCTCAGTGGGTAGGAGTCTCCCCGGAAAAGTCCCAGGTTTCTCGACACGATGCATCGTGGTTTAGCTACCAGCTTCAATTTGTCACAGGTCGATGTCAATCCACCGCTTGACGATTTGATTGGCCCAAGTCTCCCCGAAGAGTCTGTAGTGCTCCGAGCTGAGTTGCCACCTGAGACGGACTATATCTGCACGAGCAGGGGTGGAAGTCAGCATCAGCGGCCAGCGCCAGGCCGGTTTCTCAACAGTGACAACCCTTCTCTTCCTATCCACATAGATCACTGCCCATGATCGTTTTAAATTATTCACAGTCTTAAAGTTTGAGATACCCACTCAGGAGCTCACCTTGTCATATGAAGCTCATTTTTCAGGCCTGGGGACCCCCTCATGAGTTCATGCAATTCCCACTATTTTTTCTGTCAGATTTAAGCACGCAGTGTTAGGTATCAGACACTGCCGGGATCGGGATTTGCTGCCAACGCTAACCATGTACGTGACTCAAGATGTCACACTTGGATGACTCCGGTACTAGCGAACTCGCGGCCGAGTCTATCTACTAGTCGGTTAGACTCATTTAAATTAAAGAAATCGCACATTTACGAAGGGGTCAATATACAGACATGAGGCATCACCGAGCTCCATACCTGCAAAGTGTAAATATAGGGGATATTTTTGGGGTCGACGAGACTGGCTGATTGCGAGGATTAATTCCAGAGCATGCATTCCGCCACTCCCATCTACCCAATAAAACTTGTGAATTGACAACCTGCAGATAAATAATGGGGGCGAATTGCGCTCGTTGGCTGGTGGCGCTACCAGAAATCCCTGCACCATCGGGATTTGCTTTCAGTGGGTTGCCTAGAGTCCTACACAGAGTGACAGGCCCCGTCAGTATAGTGGGGCCGTGGATACTACTACACCCTGCGCACTGAAAAGCCGATATCTAATTGGACCCGGATATATGTTCCTATCCGAGAACGGAATCATCTTCCACAGGCCCTATAACTGAGACTATTAACTTGGGGTGGGAAACTTCAGATTGGCTCTTCAAAGGTACTGTCAGGTGATCTAATTTATATTGTCAGCACTCACCGTTGCGCAACGGTGAGGGCTGGTCCGTAGGCCAGGAATGACGCCTATCTAGAGAGATAGGCGCGAGAAGACGTGGAATGGCCAATGCAACCAACCATTTTTTCTCTTGATTGCTCGGCTGCCTTTAACATCCGGGTTGTCTTCCCTTCTGTTACTAACTGGTTTTATAATTCCTATACTGGCGACTCCGAATACGTGGGGGAATGGTCCGAACTATATGGAAGCAGGATGTGACGGAGAACAACCGAAGCCATTAATCACCGATGATTTCCGAGAAGACGCATCCGCGCAAATTTGACGATATCAATAAACCTGCAGGGAAAGAACTAATACCGCAGATCAAGCATTTTAGCCCCAGAATTAATATCAATACTATCCTCCTTTATCTACCTGCGTGAGTTCAATACAGCGCAGTCCAAGCCAAGCATTGATAGAAGAGCAAGGAAACTTAAGGGATATAACTTCTCTGTCATTGCTCGAAACGATTTCTTCATGTCTATTGAGTCACTCAACCTTTGAGAGTGTGCCTATACCATTCAAAAGTGAATCCAATTTGCTCGGGCTCGCCTGAAGAAAGCGCGCGAAGCAGCCCACGTTCCTCCAGGCCCTGACAAAACTCTCTTTTCGATGAAAATTCCTCCCCCAATTCGTTTTCATCCAGATCATCCCGATGATCATCACGTGTTCGCTCAGTGATTGTTGCCTCGCCATGGGAACTCGGTAACAACCATCTCCACCACACTCTGAGGCCATAACATACCCCCTGAATCATGCGACCCATGACCATATGCCATCCTTCATGAAACATCGCCTTCACAAAGGTTACCACTTCGCTGTTTGCCCTTCTGCCATTATTACCATTCAAAACATCGGTATTTTCGTTGACAAGTGTCTTCGTGTGCGCAGCTAATTCCGAAACCGTGGCATATTTGTTATGCCAACATTTCTCGATAATATCATCAATCAAGGGATCGCCATTCAACATTGGAAACTCCATGTTTTGTAGTAAGTCTACAACCCTCGGACCATGGTCGTAAGGATCCTCAGCAAGACACCGATCTCCATAAACCTCAAAGCCATAGTTTATCAGATAGTACAAGGAACCGAGGGCGAATTGTTCTGTTCGAGGGCCAAGAAACCCAAAGGTTCCAGATTCTCCTTGGTCTGGCTCATTCTGATTAAGGACTCTGCCATACGGAGCCAGACAAGCTTCGTAAATTGTTCCAATCTTGGCTGTGCAATCAAAATCAGATAGCTTTAGTCGATTGCGATCAAGAAGGATATTTTCAGGTCGTAGATCACCATGAGCGAGATTGAGCGATTCTAAGAAAGCAACTGCTTGAGCAAGATCATTCATCCATTCTTTGCGTAGAGATAGAGGCTCTAACTTGTCCACTGTAGTAACCACCATGGTTTGCTGGTCTCGAGTATGGTTTTGTTGTATTCTAGAAGAGAGTGACATATCTAACACGCAAATTAGTCAGAAAATATTTATCTTTGAACTGTTCATAAGGGTTGTACCTCTCATGTACTCAAGGAAGATCCCGCTATTGGAAAGGTAAAAACATTGCACGATAGAGGAACAAGGCGCATTCTGCGAGAATACTCGATATATCTCCAGTTCTTTATTGAATTGTTCTCTCTCGAACACTCCAGACTTTGGTACCTTCACCACGATGCGAGGATTAACCTCGTAAACGAAAGAGATGCCTCCGCTCCAAATCCAGTGCACACCAGGAAATTGCTGTTGGATGTCCATGGTTGAAGAGACCTATGGCGTGGGAGGGAGAAGCGATATCCTGAGAAGAAGAGGAAAAGGAAGGTAGATGGATGGGGGAGTCCCGGGGGAAGTACTAGTACTTAACTAGGGGGCGCAAGTTACACAATCCCTTATGTTTGGTTTGATTGGCTATTATTTCAGGCTAGGGAATCACCTGCATGAAGTGATCAAGCTTACCAGGAGACTCCCTACTAGTAGTACCTTTCCACCAGTGGAGGTTGATTTTAGAGATAAAATCGAGAAACTATGTCGGCGGTGCCGCTTGCATTTTGATTTTAACCTGTAAGGACTAAGGTTTTGGTAGAAGACAGTTGGCAATTAATCCAAGGAGATGTAGATAAGATTCGCAAACTTGTGTGGAGACTATTCACGATTGCAAATCCTAAAACCAGCTAGGCCTTTCTCCAAGCCCCATTTATCTTCACATAAGTACCCTTGGCGATACAGTCCGGGCATGGGTCCCTTCTGGTTGTCTTGCCAAGGTGCGCTGTTTTCTGGATGATGCCGCAATTGTTACAGCCATTCAGCGCCATGATCCTCCCGGGAGAATCAACCCTATGCCTGCATAGGTGCTCGATTGTTTCAATTACCTTCTGGCACATGATGTATCTAACTTTCATTCCTATCAGCTCAGAGGGTTTGCTTAGCGATGATCATTGATACTCACTTGAAGATAAGATGTAATGTCGGGTTGAAATAAAAATTCCCTCGCTGAATGTAAAGGATACCAACGGAAAGTACTTGTTGGGTGCAGATTCCGAATCTCAATGGAGATGGAGATAAATCATCGGGAAGTTTGCACGTATTTATAGACTTGTCGGGAGACTTGAACACTCACGAAAGGTCCCCGGTCAAATATTGGCATTCATCAAGAATTGAGCAAGTCAGCTCGCGAGTTGGCAACTTCCTTTAATTATGCAGCACACGGCAACCTCGTTGGCCAACGAGCAGGTCCGGTCGTGGCTCTACATGCCGTCATGTCTGATATGGCCGATATTTTAAAGAGATACTCCAGTACTCTTTGGGTTGGTTCGCGACAGCATCTGGGCTACCCGATGACCAAGTGTCTTTACAACGAAGAGTTCCAAGGTGTTTTACCCCCGAATTGAACTCTTTGCCAATAGAGCTAGGACAGGCGGGTGGGTCTACGAACATAGCAGAGGAAGAAGCCGTAGTCCGTACATAGTAATTCACAAAGAATACAGCCGAAGGAATTGGCAAAAGCAAGGCCTAAAGCCCTAGTAGTTACAATCATATTGCGTGCTGGTATGCCCTTCAGCATGCGAGGTAGGTTCATGATATTTATGGATACCTTCCAGGTACTCATAGTACTACTAATAGTAGTGGTGAGCGGCAATAGATAGCCAATTACATGTCCGGAGTCGTAGCTAACGTAAACAACGGTCGGACGGGCCACACGGTTGGGCGGGCCATTCTACTATCCCATATAAAAGATGCCTTTTTCATTCTTTTATATATCAACCAATACTGCTTTCAAAAGGTTCTAACTTTGTAGTTAGATTATATATATAAGAATAAATATTATATATTTTTCTCAGATTTTCAAAAATTCTTTTCATAAAGTCAGACCAACATTTTATATATTACAGATAAAATACAAGTATTATATTATAATAACTGAATAATTATATATATCAGAGATTTTGGAAAGCATATAAAGATTCTTTCTAGTATTTACTATATATATATAAGTAAATCTAATCCTTCTATACGTAAAAGGCTAGAATATCTTGTGATTCAAAAAGTATCTTTTGTATAGTATTACCAGGTGGCCCGCCCAACCGTGTGGCCCGTTCGACCGTTGTTTACGTTAACCATGAAACAGCTTAGTCACAACCTTAATCACATGATTACTCAGCCAAGTACCTGACCAGTGACCAGAGCCGCCCATAATGATAATAAAGATGTCCGGCAACATCAATCCATTAGTTAGAAGCACACTCGATAACTTAGTCACACAGGGTGTATTCTAGCCAATGATATGAGGCAAAATAACAAAAATAATACATGATACAATCGAGGCAAGATGGCCGAGCTGGTCCAAGGCGTCAGGTTTAGGTTCACCTAAATATTCAGCTTTTCCAAGCTTCCTGATCATCTTTCGATGGCGTGGGTTCGAATCCCACTCTTGTCATATCTTTTTCTTTTTTTCACCTTCATTCACCCTGTCCATATTTTGGAGACATTTCACTCCATCCACAATGTATTCGATGGTTTTTGTTGTCTCAACTTTCGGGCTCGCTTCATGGTTATACTTACGTCGTCACCTCACCTACCTTTATTTTCTTCGGGTAGGATCGACTCATGGTTATTGATATCCAGTTGAACAATACTAAATCATTCCGATATACATCCCTTGATCCATGCTATTTCATGCCAAAAAGATATGTATACATACGACTTCCAAAAGTCGAAGCTGACGCTTTCTATTGTACACTTTCACGATTCCCCAGAAGAAGCTGCAGTGTGATCCTCAATGTTCGTTCTTCCCCATCTACGATGTCCTTGCGGTTCCCCACTTCATTTTCCAGTCAAGATCCGACTAATTCTAGCTGCGCTGAATTTTTCCATATGACAGGACCCGATGTTAACCTATATCTGAGTACTCCTGTGTCTGGAATCTCCAGAAACATGATACCGGGTCGGCAAAAGGCAGTGAATTAGCCTAGTCCTTGCGACTCTCACCGGATGCAAATAAGCCCATCCCACCAGCTCATGTGGTACAAAACTGACAGTCTCCTTCCCCAGGAACCAGACACTAGATAAACTCAATCTTACCAACAACCCCTACTGAACCATCAAGTTTACCAGGAGAGCCTTGTCCGCTCGGCTGACCACCAAGACCAATTCCCCAGAAGCAGAAACGAGATCGTTGCCAATTTGACCAAGTGGTACAGCGAGGGACGACCGCTGCTCACCAAAGAGGCGCTTCGAAATGTGCAAGAGCAGCTCCGCAGATCTCTCCAGGAAACAGACAAGATCTGAACTATCGGATATGACGGGACAAAGATGGAATGGGAAGCGTCGGTGAAGCTAAGCCAGATATCAGATGAGGAAGATACGGATGGCCTGAAGTATTATGTTAGGTGAGCTTTCATCCACCCTATAACTTTTCCAGTGATTGACCATTAGGGTTCGCTAGAGAGCTAGATCTACACATATGTGCTATCGTTCTTTTTCCTCTCTCAAACAAGACGCAAAGGATTTTGGGGATACAGAGTCTGCCTACTGCAACATATGCGTGGCGCATTTGCTGGGTCGACGGGACATTGTTACAAAGCTTCCACCTGTTTACCCCTTCATATACCATGGGCGAGGCTCGTGCCGTGTTGCAACGGTCGATCAGGGCCTGGGAGGAGAGTGAGACATGCTCCCATCTAAAGAAGACCTTGTTTTCTGTCCTGTCCAGACACCCGATCAACAAGATCGTTGGATTTCCTTGCTCCTCAATATCCTCGCCACAAGAAGACGACAGAAATCTCAGACATGGTATCCAGCATGCCCTCTTGTTGACAGTTAGACGACTTCTCGAGCGAACAAGAGAATGCACTACAGAGCATAAGCTGCCATGCTATGTCCAGGACCCCATTTACAATGACATCGAAAAAGAAGTCCTTCAAGACCAAGGAATGCAAGTTGTGGAGGATCCCCAGGGATTCCTAGAAGTCGACGAGTCATCGATGGTTTTCAGCTGTGCATCAAACGTGGCTGTGAAGGAGATGATCACCGAACTTGCCAGACCAGCAATCATCATCTGGGAGAGAGTGAAACAGAGTCAGATCGAGACTGGCGATGAAGATGACGATAATTTCTTCCGTTCCACAGATCCAGTCACACCAAGAGTGTTCGACATGCTAACCAACTACTACGACAACTACACTTTTCTACCTGATACCAACTTTGGCGAGATGGCCGTTTATGTTCGGAAACTATCTCCTAACTAGTCCATACAAGTCCCGTACCAATTCCCAAAGAAAGGAATAGTGTTTTCCTCTCACCCAGCACCATACATAACTCCCCTCAATAGTAACAACCTTCCCCCCAACCAACTATCCATCCAACTATCCATCCAACTATCCATCCAACTATCCATCCAACTATCCATCCATCCATCCATCCATCCATCCATCCATCTATCTATCCCTCTATCCATCTATCCATCCATCCATCTCCTCCAGCCCCAAATTAACTACTTAAACCCCCTCCACAACCTTCCCTGCAACCCGCCACTACCTCCCCATCCTCTCCTCCACACACCCCTACACAAACACATCATCCAACCCAACCCCATCACCCCCTCACACAGCTCACACACCATAAGCTCCACATCTCCTCAAACCAGAAACACATACCCCAGCTGATTCCCCGCCCCCACCGAAAGCGCCCAGTGGGTGGATTCGCCCTGACCTTGCGCTTATTTGACAACTAGGTACATAAATCCCGGAGCGGGGTTTAAAGGGGGTGTGTCCGGGAACCATTCTTCTGTTCCTTTCCTCTGATAACAATACTGGATATTGATTCTGGCGAGTGAGTTCGCGGTGTCCGAGGGCGGTAGTAGTTACTACTATTTTACATATGGGGATGATGTCCACATATTGTCCCAATTTATAGGTCGATAGTACTAAATGAAAGACGGAGCTCTATCTCGATCGGGTTCAAGAACATACTACTACGATGTACTTTTGTATCTGATCGATCTATCCATGGAACTGGAATGTAGTAAGAAGACCAGATGAGATCGACATTTCGGTTTCGCACATCCCGGGAAAGTACTAAGACAGGTGTGGGGTTGTCGCCTTGTCGCCTTATAACTGTGAGACTGAGGCTGAGGATGAGGCATCTCAACGGTTCATCTATATCGGTGCCTTATACTCCGTACTTTGTCGACTATCGTCAAGGATGGATAGCTGATCCATAAAGCAAAGAATTTGCCACCTTTCAACAACAGCATTAGTGGTGTAACGGTAACATTCAACCCTTCCATAATCCGAGCCGTGAGGTAAAGATTGCGAGGTTGGGCCCTGGGTTCGACTCCCAGCTAATGCATTTTGTATTTCTGACGTCATTTCTTTTGAACTTGGATTTCTTTTTTTTTTTTTTTTTATTATGTTGGGTGTGTTATCTTTATTGAATGAAAAATCTTGTTTGTTTTATATATAGTGCAAAATCTTTCTAAATCTCTAAATCGAACATGTCTTCATTGCCGTCACTCTTCATCCCCCTCAAGGTCGGAAGCGTCCAGAATATCCTGCTTCTCTAGAAATCTGTCCAGCTCCACCTCTTCATCCCGTAATGATCCAGCCAGAACTGCAAAGTTGGGATACAGGCTACTGAGTCCCTTGCGACCTTTCCGTCCCCAGATTACCTTTTCGAAGTCTATGAAGAGTGCAGCAGTCTCCGGGGGCAATTCGACCCCCATCTTTCTCGCTGTGACCTGGATGGCTCGCAATGTGCCCTTTGCCAGAGGCCAGCGTCGTGAAGCCACTTTCGCCGCTACAGAGACAGTAGTGAACGCCTCCTGATTTACAGGCACATCGAGGGCCCCAAGCAGAGTGAACATGGAAACCGTGATCCACTGTATATAGCTCGCAGGAAAGATGTCGATCCCCCATAAGGTTCGGTGCACATCCATCAAGCCGGCAATCTGTCGTGCAGACGATAGCGACACCTCTTCCGGATGCCGATCCGGGCTCCACCACTGGCTTTGACCCATGTATGCTGCCGCTCCAGCGAGTTCCGATGTGGTGATACAAATATTATGATAATACATACTGTGTAACCTCATTAGACTAACCCAGCGACAATAGCAATTTCTGGGAGCGACCTACTGAAGACACAACACGTGAGGAAGTATCACACGTCCGGACTCAACCCTTAAACACGGTTGGAGTGCCTTCTCCCACACCGCTAGAAGCTCACGGACCTTCCCCTCCGTTCTTCGAATCTCTTCGAATGCGGGTTTCGTAAAGCCATCGAACAGTAATGTGCACCACACATCAACAATGGTAGTGAGCTTAGACAGGCTATGGAAATAGCACATGAAATGCCCCTGAAAAGCATCCCCTCCTTGTGGATAACGGTGCCATAGTGTATCGTCATCGTCGTGGTTGCTTGGCGGACATGGGTAGTTTGGCCTTTCAATCGACGGCGGCCGTTGGTAAGCAAAGGCCTGGGCTCTGGTCACAATTAGTCATGTCTCACAAGTTCTTCGACCAACCATACATTGTTGTGGTATAGAGTCCCCAGAGGGTAATCCCCATGGCCCGTTCTATTTCAGACTTCTCGGAGATGGAGCCACCTAGTATCGATGGGAGTGTGCGCTCGAGCTCCTTTGCGGCAAATGCGAGCTGGCCCTGGTATATCCAGCCCCGTCGATCTTTGCCCATGAAACATGCACTAACCTCATCATTAACACCTGTAAGCCACCTCAAGTCAAAGAGCGGATGCTATATACCAGGTTGATAAAACCGCTAACCCTTGTACCGTGGCTATTGTTGTATGTCCATCTTCCTGTTCGAAACATCTCTTCGCTTCGTGGTAAAAATGCGTGCCTCTCGTTGACAGATCGCTCGGGACCTCATATGCTTCTGCGTAATCGGAGTATGCCTGATCCATTGCACCAAGAATGAATGAGCGCAAATGGCCAAGATGACGTAATCAGATTCACATCAGGGATCAACAACTTACACAGGCATCCGCTAGAATGGCGTTGACTAGAAACGGGGAACAAAACTGGGAATTAAGCTTTGCTGCTTTCATATCGCGTATGAATAGTTCTCGATCGATGCAAGGAAAACAGGCGTGTCGCCATGTGAAGTATAAGGATATGAGATGTGATACAAAGTCATCATCGTCGGTGACTCTGGTCCAAGGTTTTGCGGGTACGCGAAAGACGGGCTGATCGGCCAACCTCTTGGCATTGAGGACTCTGCGGGGGATCTTAAAGATGGACTGGTCTGATATATGAACCTCATCATCCTCTACCGCAGAATCAAGGGTACTCGCACCCTCCAGCCGGTCGTCAACGAACAGTTGAAGCTCCTCCACGGAGGCATTACTCCTAATCAACTGTAGCAGGGAGCGCATCCGCGTAACACCACTATTGCGCAAGCTGTCCAGGATCCGCGTCAAGAC